CAGATGATTGCATATGCGATAGACATTTGTGGCATGCCTTTTCCTGCTGAAATGGCCTCTGGATTTGAGGGGTTGGAGGAAAATGGGGCAGCTAGCAACAAGGATGGAAGTGGGGAAGGTGATAACTGGATCCAATTCCAGTTGCGTAGTACACTCATGCTGATCATTACCACCTACCTGCTAAATAGCATTACTGCTAACTAGCAGTTAAAGTGGGACTTACCATGTGTCCCTTGTTTAGTAAATTGCCTGTAATACTTAAGTTTATTGTGCCAACTAGGCCTCCATAGGAACATGTAGGCGGACTTTAAACAGGTTAGAGCATGATTGGAGGGTGACTGAGATAAATGTTTTCTTTTCTTTTTAAAAAGAATAATTTTATTGGGGGCTCTTACAGCTCTTATAACATTCCATACATCAACTGTATCAAGCATATTTGTACATATGTTGCCATCATCATTTTCTAAACATTTACTTTCTGTTTGAGCCCTTGGTATCAGCTCCTCCTTTGATAAATGTTTTCTGAGGCTGGCCATCCGTCTCTCTTTTTTCCCCCTGGTGATTGGACCAGTGTGCTGCTGTCTGAGCTAGTTCTTTGCCTCAACTGTGTGCTGCACTACCTGTGGGCCGAGACAATCGAGGGGTCCTGTTGCCTTGTCATGCACAGCCAGAGCTCTGGCGCCATCAGGACCAGCTTCCCCATGCTGCTGGTGGGTCTTTGTTGGCTTGTGGGCCCACTGCATAGCTCCCAAGCTACTGGATGTTGCTGCCCCACCCTGCCATATGCTGCCTGAGGCTGATCCTGTTTGTCTTGCTTGAGGGCAGATTCCTCTGCTTCCTTGACCTTGGACAAGCAGTCCAAGTGAGTTGAAAGACCTTCAGCATATTAACTGTTCCACGAAAGTGAGATGAACTGAGCCCACTACACTGCTTTGAGGACTAATTAGCTGTTATATTCCTTCACTCTATAAACTATCCTGTTTTGCTTCCTTAGAGAACCCTGCCTAACACACTGTCTAAAGTGTTCATATCACAGTTGTCTTCCCAAGAAGCCTGTAAAATAAGAATAGTATTCTCACTTCACAATGGGTCACAGCAGCTAAGTAAGTAGCCCCAGGTAACTGATGAGGTCAGGATTCAAATCGAAGTATGTGCTCAGCAATAATCTGCCCCATTGCTTCCCTTAAACCAGTAGTAATATGTTTGTATTTCTCCTACATATGATTGTTTTTAAAATAATTAGACCAGTATTTCATCATCTAGACAACCTTATAAAAACTCACTCTGCGATGAGGGCAATGAATGTACAAATGCGCTTTACACAATTGATGTGTGTATGGATTGTGATAAGAGTTGTATGAGCCCCTAATAAAATGATTTTTAAAAAAAACCTCATTCTGCATACTAATCTCTCAAAAATCATCAGAGTGAAACAACAGAGAAAAGAATCAAAATTCTATTTTCCAATTATCTCAAAGTAGAAAAGTGCCTTATAAAACATTAGGGAAGGCTCTAGAACCAGCTGGTATCTTCAAGTGTACTGTGATGATACGCTGAATGGTGTCTTCCCCCTTTCTTAACTTCTATGATACACAAGAACTTACTTCAGAAAGAAAGCAATATATAAACATAATCCACTGAGAATTCAAGGACAATAGGCTGGGGATCCATCCTATACAAATTCAAGTCCTGGATCTAATCTGCGATCTCCTTACAACTAAATAAAATAAGTATTCTCATTATTTTGGGGAGTAGGATAGAGTGGAAGATATAAAGAGGAATATTCATTGTTCAAGCACAGTCAAAGGAATGAATGATAGAATGAAAAATTCAGAAAGGTAGAATATAGAGCACTAAAGCCTAGAAATGATAATATTCTAAGAATTGAAAACAACAGAAATCTCATGACTAATAACAAAAAAAGATCCAATGGTATGTATAACCACAAGGTAAAGAAGGAATGATAGTGAAAAAGTTAAAAAATCTAGAAGATTAGAAAAGAATGCCTATCAAATTCAATAGTACTTATCACATGCAAATGAAAGTAACTTAATAAGTTGTGAGCTCAGAGAGGATATTATTTATTCCTTTAATTCTTTTGAGACCTAATGCCGGGGGCTTAAGTGCAGAAGAAATGTTTTGAGAAAGATGAGGGCAATGAATGTACAAATGTGCTTTACACAATTGATGTATGTATGGATTGTGATAAGAGTTGTATGAGCCCCTAATAAAACGATTTAAAAAAAAATGTTCTTTTGAGTTCTGGGAATAAAAAGAAGTCTGAAGCGGCAAGATCAGGGCTACACAGTAGATGGTGTAAGGTTTCTCAATGAAATTCTTTTTTTTCAACTTGAAGTTGTTTCCCTTTTATTAAGACCCAAGTTACTATTACATGGTTTGGTACTCAAAAAAGGAGCACTTGATAAATAAGGTAAGACGCTATCACTATTTCCAGGTGACAGTTTACAATCAAGTAGCAAGAAGTCCTTGGGAAGCCCATTTGTGAAAGTTTCTACTTTATCAAGGGCTAGTTCCTCTGGAGTGAATAGCCCAACTCATTTAAAGTTAGTCTGTGTTCATGGATGAATCGGGGTAGATTTCCTTATGAGGTCCTGCTTTGTCCTTAACAACCTCTAGGATGCGAACTGCACCAGCAAAGTTGTTTAACCGTCTGCATGCCTGAAAGCAGCACCTCGGATTTTGGGTTCTGGAACCAGATCATAGCCATCAAGTGTGTTTATCCTTTGATACAGCTCTCAGGCATCGATATGTAGCTTGTCGAAGTATGTCACCCAGTGAGCATCTAACTCCTCCTTTGTCTCATGAGACCCACGGGAGAAGCAGCAAATTGACGAGACAGTGAAGGCTGGGCCAGAGGCTAAGAGACGATGCAGACAGTGGCTACTGTGGCACTCCGTGTTGGGGAGCAGTGCCCAGCATGATGGCAATGGTGGTGCTCAGGCAAAGGCTGAGGAAGCTGGGTGTGAATATGCACACTCAGTAAAATTCTTGCCGGACAACACTTGCTACCCTTGAAAGATGAGCAGGTGCATTGCCACAAGGGGAAAATTTTTTCTCAGCTCAACTTTTTCTCACCAGTGCCATTTTCAGTCATCTGAAAATTCCTTCCTAATAAGCCTCATGATTTTCCTGTGTTCCAGAAATTCTGTCAAGATCACTCATTTGAACTTTAAACATAAAGTCACCACAGTCTTCTAAGCTGACCTCTCTGTCTTAAATTTAATAGGCACAATCATTACTTCAAAAGTCAGTTTTTTTATTGGGCCTTGCTCTCTGAATCATACTGGTAAATCCAAGATTCATCTCTGGTCATGATTCATCTTCTTTCAGCCAGGCAGCTACTCTTGTCTCATGTTCTTGTTGGTACTGCTGCCTCCACTGCCATAGATTTTCATCCCTTCTTCTGGTGTCACAACTATCTCCCGGATCGAGGCAGTTCAGTATATAAGGGTCTTTAAGGTCCAAAGGTCAAACCCCACTCCTTATTCTTTCTTGATGAAACAAGATTGCTTACTGCTGCTTCTGAGATGGCTCATTTTATACGCAGCAAGATGAAAAAGTTCACCCATTCCCAATTAGACTTCTGAGCTTTTACAACGAAAATTAACTGTTAATTCACAACCGAATCTATACTATCACAGTATCTTACACACATTTCCTCTTAGCCGAACCTTCAGAAAAGAAGGCAGTATACCCCATCTGCATGGTCCCATCCAGTCATTTGGTGAGAGTTAACAAAGACTGTGGTTAAAAGAATCTCATCAAGTAAATCACTGCACCACACACACTCTGAAAGCTAAAACAAGTCTATTACTAAGAGAACTTGTCTGCAGCCATTCACTGACCCCAAAGCCTTGTTTAAATAAGTTTTGTTTCAAATAGACGTGCATGTATGAACTGGAATCCTAGCAGCAATATAACTTGACCTGTTCTCCTATATTTGAATTTCATCATAATGATAACTGATTAATCCTTACACAAATGTCTCCCAGGAAGACAATAATTACATAAATCAACCAACAAGTAGAGGGGCTATTAAAAAATAGATGATACACTCCTGGGGAAGATAGTTATTTAAATCTATATATTTAAGGAGTCCTGGTGGTGGCATAGTGGTTACGCAATGGGCTGCTAACCCCCTGGTTTAAGACCACCAGCTGCTCGGTGACAGAAAGATGAGCTTTCTACTCCTGTAAAGACTAGTCTCAGAAATCTATATGGGCAGTTCTTCCATAACCTATAGGGTCAGGACTGACTAGATGTCAGTGAGCTTGGTTTTGGAGAGTTTTGGTTGTGCGAACCACAGTTGGTGATTCAGATGGATCAGCCACTGTGAGGCTATCACCTGCTCCCAGATGGATGGACAGCCTTGGAAACCCTAACAAAGGGCTAACTATGACTCAGAATTGACTTGATGGCAGTGGGTAATAGTTAAAATGGTTGAAATGTTCAACTTGGTTTGAAATTTCTTTTTCTCTAAACTATGGCATATGTTGACAATATTAAACTTTAAATTCCTGTATTCAAACCATTCAACGTTTTTCAATACTAGTAAAGTGGCTTGTGCTCAATTTCAACGACATAAAATGTGCTTGCTTTAGAACTAATGATTTTACTTGGGTCAAAAGAAAGTATCCAAAAGATGTCATTTAATTTAACAAGAACTTATACTTTATAATGCTTCTCCATTGATGCTAGGATGAAAAATGTACAAGGTCTTAAGGAAATTGTAGATTCACACCAGTTGACATCAGACTTCCATTTTGGAGCGTTAATGTTAAGAATCTTGTTCTTAACCCTCGCCCCCTCCTTCCCTTTGGATGAAAAAGAACTGCTTCCAAAAAAAAATCAATAACCCTTTTTAATCTATTCCGAGGGAACACTATTTCCATCACAAGTGAGGCCAAAAATGAAATGCAAACTTTTATTAAAATTAAATGCGTGTCAGGTGATATTTGATATCATCAAACAGTACTTACCAATACATACATCGATTTTCCCTTTGATAGCAGCCTCATGCAGTGGGGTATAGTTCCAGTTATCCCTGGCATTTGGATCTGCTCCTTGACACAGTAACAGACTTACAACCTCAGCATGGCCGAAGGAGCAGGCATTGTGAAGGGGGATGAGGCCTCCATCATCGCGGGCATGGACGTTAGCGCCCATCTGCAGTAAGTGTTCTACAACATCCTTCCTTCCAAAGCCTAAAAAGAAAGGAGAAGCATTAGACTGCTTTTAACAAATAAGAACAACACAAGTACTGCCCGTATACTACAGCACGAATAAAACAGTTGTTAAAGGGTGGGGGTACTATTCAAACTAATTTCCTCAACTCACAAAGCAGAGAACTTAAAAAGCTCGTCCTTTAATCTTTGGACAGTTATTCAAAATAACATAAAATTTAAAATCTTTAAAACCTATTCTGTGCTGGCAAGTTTTTAAAGGGTAGGAGTACTATATCCACTCTAGGCACACATCTTACCCTCAAGCTTCCCAAGACAAAATTAGATATGTAAAATGCATCTCAATATTCTGAGAGAAAGGTTCTTTAAGTACTGTTGACAGACAAATTCAAGATGAATCAAAACAGTAAACATTACATTAGGGATACCAAAAAGAAAATATTAAACACCCAAAAAGCGTGGTGGCAGTTTGGTTTCAAGGGATTCTGAAAAGAATTGAAAAAGATGCCAAACTTCTCTAAGAAAGGGTGGCCCTGCGAAACGAGGAGTGAAAGAAGAAACAATTGATGCTCGGAATGATTGAGGTTGAAGAAACAGTGTAACAAGCAGGCAAGCATCTAGCAGAGAGGCAACAAACCCACGTGGAAGAAGAACATCAGCCTGTGTGACCAGGAGGTGTCCACGGAATCAGTTAACAGGCACCAGAAGACCCAAAACAAAACAAAAAAACATTGCTGAGAACGAGGGGAGTCGGAGCAGAGACCCAAAACCGATCTGTAGACAACAGGACATCCCCTCACAGAAGGGTGATAGGAAGGGATGAGACAACCAAGGAGCAGTACAGCACCGATGAAACACACAATATTCCTCTGGTTCTCTGAGGCTTCCTCACCCCCAATATCATGGCTACCAAAAGGTATAGCATCTGGGGTCTTAAAGGCTTGAAGGTAAACAAGTGGCCATCTAGCTCAGAAGCAACAAAGCCCACA